GATGTTCAAGTCAGTGTTTTTATCCTCCCAGACAAGTCTGGTACCAATTAACCGACCCCGGAGGGATGGAAGGCTTGGTTGGCCCGGGCGACTCACGACCCAGGATTTGATCCCGGACCGCTCGCGTGGTAAGCGCGCCACTTGTCACTGCACCACTTCCGCCCAATGTCCTAAAAATGTTGGAAAGTATTGGCACCACCCTTGCCCACCATCCCTCGCCGCCGCTGTGAGGTCAAAGTGGCGTCACCCACGCGCAATCAACGCGGAGACATTAATTCCATTGATCCTAAGGGGGATATGAGCAGATAACGCGGAATGTCTCGAAGAAATGTGAAGAACTCGAGGAAAATCATAAGCAAAAGGCGCCTGTTGGCGTGGAAGAGAGGGTACAGGAACTCGATCCTGCATTATAATGGCATCGTTGCGGAATGGTGCCGAGTCGAGGAATATTATTCAGGAAAACGACCAAGAAATGAATCAGAAGAAAAACGAGGCATACAATGCGAGTATATGAATGGTGACATTAATAGTGACCAAAAGGCAACATATGGCAACCCAAGGCTGATAAAGGTATTTATACAGGTATGGAAGGGGATTAAGAGGGAGTTGTGCGGCTACAAGAGTGGAAGAGGAACCGTCTTGCTGTCTGGTGGGTGGGTGTCTAGATGAGCATCCAATGCGGCCTGATTTCCCTCTACTGCCGACCATAATTCACCGAATTCTATATTGGGTGCAAATTCGCTGATATTTGTCAAAACGAGGTGTGAAAAAGTGTGATGGCCGGTTTGATATCAGTGAGTGGGGGGCTATCGGTATGAGGAAAACTCAAACGTCATTTTTTGTCTATACTCTATAGTGAGAAGCCATTATTGGATAAAATGCTTGTAACGGGATTAATGAACGTCTTCCAATAGGACCCGTTGGGAAGAGAAACCCGTACGGCTGGAAACGAGAAACATGAGGAATTGAATGGCAACAGCTGGTATAGAGAGAAGCGCTAGTCTCCGGCAATTGGCGGCACGAGTGCCAAGATGACTTTTCGTATATGACGCGCACTGATGTTTTCGGTTCCACAAACGAGGTTGCCGCTATATCAGAACAGCGCTGCCAGAATCTTCGCGCATCGTTAATGTGGGATGGGTAGGAAAATTCGATCCTGATGTGAGGGCATTTGTGTGACTCAATGAATTCACCGATCTGCAGAGGTGAAGAATAGAATGATGGAAAGAGGCATTGAGCGAGTGCTGTAGGCCATCCTTCGACCGCTAAAAGTTGTGCCGCTAATTGGTTGGTAGTGGCCAGTCCCACTTGTTGCGAGGTAGGATTTAGGATTTCCCTTTTTGAACGACCCTTGGCATGCAAAATTTCGATACCGTAGCCCTGGTCCGTTACAATGAGAGGATGATTACAGTCATGCAAGAGAGGTCCAGATAGTGAGAAAGAAAGAGCAAATTCTTTGGACTCACTGAGCCAAACATTGTCAATTAAAGTGCCTTTCATGGGCGAGACTAATACATACCTGCACTGCTCATCCTTTTCCGGCGTCCAAATGACGGCTGCGCCAGCTGAGGTGGTACAGGATCCATCCTTGTATTGACAGCCAGGTAGTGGTCCAATAGGGCTTTCGATCGTAGGAGAGCCGTGATATGCGAATACCTTAGTCTGAAATACCACACAATTGGTAACCGTAACCGTGTTGTCGGAACAGCAATGGAAGGCGCGGATGGCCATTCAAATTGAATACGATTAATGTTTTCCAGACCGTGCCTACGGCTAAGCAGCTCGCCATTGGCACACGATTTATGACGTACCATATGCTGACAGACTCCTACAGGTACAGCATTCTCATGTGTGGAGACACTTTGTGACCGCGCACCAAAAAAGTTTACGGAGTACACTACAGTTTGTGAAATGATTCGGCACACATGGGCCATACTCTGGTAACGAATTGTGTTAGGTCGGTACACATTGAGCGACAAAAACTGTGGGGTGGAAGACCACGGCGGCAAAATTCTAGAGCAATTAATTTGCTCAGGTATTTTCCAATAACTGAGAGGGGACCTATTGGAGCATAGGTAAGGCTGGAGGCAATGAGGAGGCCTGTGCGCAGGATGCAAGAGCCAAAATTGTCATACACATGTATGCCCATGCAGGTGTTTTGCTGGACGTTGTGGGTCTATTACCTGGTTCGCCATCAGGTTCATCTGAAATCGTTGTGTTCTGGGTTGCGAACACTAGGTCCGCTAACGCATTATTTCTTTCAATGAGCGCCGCTATGCGGGCATCCTTGTCCTCTTCGGAAACCGTATCAGTACTCTGGATCCCGTCATTCGAGGTGTCCTGCTGTGAGAACTTCATTTCGCCTCCCTGGTCCCGCATATATGGATCGACTCGAAACGGTGTGGGGGACATCGTCACCTTGATTCGCATTACGGGAAACCCGGGAAAAGTTTTGAGGTGGATTTCCGTTGCGTGGCGCCGGTAATTGGGGTGGCTGTAAGCCGGCTGGCGGCAAGCTGTAATGGCAAAAGGTTTGGAAGTGACCTTTTCTCCCACAACGGTAGCAGATTATATCTGCATTAGGTGCTCTTTCCCAGAATCGTCTCGATCTATTATTGCTAGGATAATAAGTTCGACTTTTCCTACGTTGTTGTCTTGGAAATCTCTGTCGGTATTGGTCCGGTCCGAGTGGAGCGGAGGTATTTCGTGCGGCTACCACACGAACAGGTGGAGGAGCGGTAGGCTGGGTGCCAGGAAAAATGGTAATGGCACTTGCCACATCATTTAGAAGGGACTCATACGTAGTGGCTTTAACCACGGCTTCCTCAAAAGTAAGGGGATTCGCGGCTTTTACATGGAATCTTAGCGCGGGTTTTAATCTATCCTGGAATTCATCCAGTAGGCGCTCATTCTGTGCCTGCTTAGGCTGACCTCGAGTTACCTTCTTAACGATCTGCTTTATTCGGTCAGCAAACTCACGGGCACTTTCAGTCGGCCCCTGCTTACAATCGGAGAGTTGTTGCCTGGCCAAACTTCGAAATTGGGGCGACTCAAAATGCGTGCGAAGGTGGTCAACCACTTTTGCATAAGAATTTTTATCGATGTCTGACAGATCGTCGATGATGTCCCTGGCCCCTCCTTCCAAAAACCCAACCAA